CAGCAGTGTAGGAAAACCACAGAGCACATCCATCCATGCCTGATTCCAGAAATTTCTCCTTGATTCTGACAGCAGCAAGTCTCAGCTCTAAAGCAGCAGTGTAGGAAAACCACAGAGCACATCCCTCGTGCATCCCCAGCAGCAGCACCCACCAACATCTGCTCCTTCTCCATTCCTCACAGGAAACCCATGGACAGGTCCTGGATATCAGGAATTAAATCCATTGAATCCCACAGGCACCAAGGATGGCAAAAAGGAGCTGATGTTGGTGCTGGCTTCACACCAGAGATGGACATTCCACATCCCAGACTCACAGGAATGGGAAAAAATTATCAAAATCATCATTTGAGGAGGGGTCCATGGCAGCACAGGCCCTTTCTCCTGATTGCTCCAGCTTCAGCACAGCCTGTGGGGGAGCTTTGCACCCCATTTTTGCCAGCAGAACCCCAGTGCAGGGGACAAGGATGCCTTTGCAAGATCCAGTTGTGCCAGGAAAGCCTCCAGGATGTGCTGCCAGCTGAGCAGCTCCACCCCTGCCAGCCCCAGGGGACAGATGTGACCCGGGCAGCGCTGCCACCCCTCCTTGTGCAGCACCCAGGGGTGGTGGCACCTCCTGGAGGCACCTGGAGCTTCCCAGGGTGGGCAGAGCTCTGTGGGAAGGGCTTTCCCTGGAGCTGGAGCATTCCCGTCCTGCAGGAAGGAGCCAGAGCTCAGCACTTGGATCTTTCTGGGTCCTTTCCAACTCGGATATTCTGTGATGCTCAAATCTCCCCTGTTGGAATTAACCCCAAGGGAGAAGCACCTGGGGCAGGTTCCTGCTTTGTTCCCCACCTGGAGCAGTGGGATGGAGTGGGCTCAAGGCAGGGAAGAGCCACTCCCACCTCCCAACGCTCCTTTATCTCCCCCAGGGTGGGGTTTTTCCCCTCCCATTATTCCTCCTGGGAGAGGAATTCCTGCTCTACAATTACCTTTCCCCAAGGAACAAAGCCGGGCCCCCGAGCCCAGCGCTTTCCAGCGGCTCCTCGGAGCTTTCCTGGGCGTTAATAAAAGCATTTTGTTAAGTTGTGGCAATTTTTAAAGAGGATTTTCCGCCTCGGGAGCCGCAGGTTTGTTGCGGTTTGTTTTGTGTGGCTTTGCTCCCCCTTCCTCCCATCCTTAAAAAGAAGGAGAAAAGCCAACAGCAAGCGGATTTGTCATAACACCTCTTTGGAGCAGGAAACAACATGACTTAAATCCTTTCTTGCTTCTGAGACTGTCCAAGGCTCAGATTCTGCTGCCACAACCCCCTGACAGCTCTGGCAACCTTAGCATTGGGAAGGGAGCTGGGGAAAAACCATCCACAATTTGATAAAGCTCCCGAATGTTTTCTCCCAAGCAAAACTCGGAGCAGGATTTTGCAGTAGGAGAAGGAGGTTCTTTTCTGGGAGTTTCTGCTGGGAAGCAGCTCATCCATTCGGAGCAGATAAATGTTCCTGTGAACACTGAGCTCCCCTGAAACAAGACACTGGAAATAAATCACTTCCACTGGCTCAAGGTATCGCAAATGCCAGGAGATATTTACGTCACTAAAAATACACAGAATTACAGATAAATCCAGAGCCTCCAAGAAAAACCAGAATCTGTCAGCGTTTTTCCTCCAGCTAAAGGAAAAGCAGCTCAGGTGCTGCAGGTGGAGGTGAGCCAGGAAATATCAGAGAAGGAGGATATGGAGAACATTCCTCTGCATAGAGGAGAAATATTCCATTCTCCAGGAGACGGATGGGGATTTGGAGAAACCATGGAAGGTGTCCCTGCTCCTGCCAGGGCTGGATGAGCTCTGTCCCAGTGCTGGGGACAGCACTGCTCCCCTGGCTCTGTCACCTCCCACCCTGCTCCCAGGCAGGGCCAAATGTCAAAGGAGTCTCAGTGAAACAGGCTCCAAACCGAGCCAAAGGGAACTGGGCACGTTCAATTCTCTAATCTTTGAGTGGCACCTACCCCATTCATCCCATCCCACCCCATTCACCCCATCCCATCCCATCCCACCCCAAACAGGACTCGTGTGGCCCCAGGGGAATGCACAGCCAGGCCAGAAACACCCAGGAATATTAACCCATCCCATCCCATCCCACCCCAAACAGGACTCGTGTGGCCCCAGGGGAATGCACAGCCAGGCCAGAAACACCCAGGAATATTAAAATGCAAAATCCCTCTAAAAGCAAGAGCTCTGTGCACAAGCCTGTGCTCTCAGTGTCACCCCTCGTGGTCACCTCCCTGCTCCTGGAGCATCCCAGAGCTCCAGAGTCGGTTCTAAGCACTGCTCTGCTGATTCTTTGCTTCGTTAAAAGGCAAGAAAAGCAAATGGCTGAGATCTGTGTGTGCACAGCTCCCAGTGCTGGAGCTCACCTGGAGCCACAAGCAGCCCTGCATGAAGCCCCAGAGCTGGGACCTGGTGCCACCACAGACCCACCAGAGACCCAGTGCCACCACAGGACTTGATGCTACCACAGACAGAGTAACACCAGAGAACCCAGTGCCACCACAGACACGGTGCCACCACAGGACTTGATGCCACCACAGACAGAGTAACACCAGAGAACCCAGTGCCACCACAGACACGGTGCCACCACAGGACTTGATGCCACCACAGACAGAGTAACACCAGAGAACCCAGTGCCACCACAGACACAGTGCCACCACAGACACAATGCCACCACAGGATCCAGTGCCACCACAGACACAGTAACACCACAGAACCCAGTGCCACAATGGACATGGTGCCACCATAGGATCTGGTGCCACCACAGGATGTGGTGCCACCACACTCTGCAGAAAAGGGCACGGGCTGCCTCACCCCCTTGCCCTCTCTCTGCCACCCCCAGCACCTCCCTCCCCTCCTCCCAGCCCAACACTCTCCAGCCATTCCACCATGGAGAACCGAGAGCCACCAGCTCCATGGTCACTGCAGAGATTCCCTCCAGCCCCAAGTGCTGCCTGTCCCTGCTGCTCCCGTCCCTTGCCACCAGCCAGAACCTTCCTGCCAACCCCCCAGGCACCTCCAAAGCCGTGCCCACCCTGCCCCATCCCTGCTGCCCTGGGATGCCGCCCGGAGCTCACCTGGGGCTGCCGGTGCCCGCCGGGGGCTGCCTGGGCCGGGCTTCTCGCTGCTTCTGCCTGCAGCTCCAGAGGGAGCAATGAGGGAACATTTGGGCATGGCCCGAGTGCGGTGGCGCTGGCAGGAGCCCGGAATGTCCAGCTGACATTCCAGGGGGCTGTGCTAGGGAGGGACAGCCTGGCTGGGACAGGGCACAGCCGCGTGTGAGGGGAAGGGAACAGAACGAGAGGAGCCCCGGCTGCCTTGGGAAATCGGCTCTCCAGGAAAACAACCACGGAGTTGTTTGTGTCCATCTGTTTTCCACGGAATCCCTCCCTCAGCTCGGGTTTGTCACCTCCCTGCAGAGTGAGCTGACACTGGGAGAGGGACGGAGCTTCCCAGAGCTCCCAAAACACCCAGGGAGATGCAGGAGAGGCACAGGGGTGACAGGGGCTGGGGGACACCAAACCCCCTCTGTGGCAAAGGAAGGGTGTGGGCAAAAGGAGGGGAAGGCTGGGGCTTGCCCAAAGCTGGGCAAGAGGTGAGTGTGGATGCAGAGCTCCAGCCCTGCCAACGGGAAAAGGGACACGTCAGAGCTGGGAGCCGCGATGGGAATGGAAAAGTCCCAGGGAGCTTCCTGCCAGGGCCACACTGTCCCTGCTGCCATCCTCAAGGACAGCCTGTCCCCCCTGTCCTGTACAGCGAGTGCCAGGGCTCCTGCCAGCCCCTGCACCCCATAAAAACGGGATCCCGGTGCTTTTTAGGGCATCACAAGAACAGCCAGCCTGGGCAGCACCCAGGACAAGCAGGGGACAGTGCCCACTCTGACCCCCAGGCCCCAGCAGGGACTTGGGGACTTCAGCACAGCCATGCCCAGCCCTGGGGCTCCCATGGGGGAAATGCTGGGGAGGAAAACCCCACAGCTGGGATAAGGATTGGAGGGTGTGGAAATCCCCACTAAGTGGAGGGGAGAAAGCAGCTCAGGAGGAGCAGAGGGATCAAACAAGGATGAAAGAAAGACCCAGATTCCCCAGGCCTGGCCTTCCCAGCTCCCCTGATCTTTCCAGGAGAACTGGCCCCGTGCCCTGACTCCGTGCCCATCAATAAGGTGCAGCATCAGCTGTCGTGTCAGCAGCAGGAAAAACATCCCATGGGAAGGGCTTTAAATGGAAGCAGGAAAGGAAAAGATGAAGAGCTGGGCTCGTTTCAGAGCCCTCGTTGGGCCACGTTTGCCTCCCTGACAGGGAGGGGGTGCAGCAGCTCCAGTGGATGAGTTATTTATGGAAATGTGCTTCATTAGAGAAATTTACTCTGCAACAAAGTGGGAAAGGGCCCTGAGCAGCTCTGCTTGGCAGTGGGGCTGGGAGGGGAGGGGGCAGGGGGCAGAACCTGCTTTTCCCAGGAAAACTGCCAGAATTCCAGTCCAGTCTGCCATGGAATGGGGCTGCTCCAGCCTGGAGAGAGATGGAGCAGGGGACACGGTGGGGGTGACAGCCACAGCCCCTGGCACAGGGAACGGCTCCAACAGCACCATTTCCTAACCTGGAACACATTCCAGCTGTAACTTAGCAACCTCACCTGGGTGAGAGCATCCCACCAGGCACGTGGGGCCTGAGGAGAACCAACCTTGCACTGATTCCCTCCCTTTTGTTCCCAAATCTCAGCAACAACTGCAGGCAGAGAGGAGGCAGCTCCTGCTGGCCATGGAGCCACCCCCTTCCTGTGCCACTGGAAAAGCCCTTTGTCACCCAGAGCCACAGGATGAGATGAATTCACCCAAACTGAGTCATCCCTTTCCACAGAAATCACACAATGGGGAACCACTCCTGCCACACCCCAGAGCCTGGGAGAAGCTGCAAATCGACCTGATCCAAGCAAAAGCACTTGGGCCAGTCTGTGATGTCTCAGCACAAATAAAAGTAGTAAATGATTGGTAATAAATTTATTTTTGATATTGATTTTTTACAGAGCTAAATGGAACATAGAAACAGCACCAAGCCATTGAAGTTTGTTCTACAAAACCAGGTTTAATACAAAAAGGATGACAGCAATGCCTGACTCTGCGCTTCTGGACGGTTAAAAAAGCTCCCCCAAACCCCACCAAGAGTTTAAAAAGGTTTAAGAACAGAGGCACCGGTGTTTGAGAGAATTTCTCTGGCAGCAGTGATCTTTATGCATGTGGGAACAATCAAAGTTACTTTTATTCCCAATTTATTGCAGTGCAAGGGGCTGGTCCTTGCCTAGGAGAGCTGTTGAGTCTCCTGCCCAAACACCCACAGCCAAAAATGAGGGGTAAGAGCCCCCTCCATGCAGGATATTCCCCATTTAATGGGAAAGATCTGGTTTTGCTCCTGGAGAGCTCAGCTCCACCCACGTGGGGAGAGGTGCAGGCTGTGCCAGCTGAGCAGGCACAAGGAACACACCTGGAGTGGCACCACCTGCCCAGGGCTGTGCCCTCAGCCAGCCCAGAGCCCGGGACAGGAGCAATCTGAGCATCCAGCCCCAGGATGTCCTCAAGAGAGCAACCCCCAGGGGCCACAGGGCTCAAATCCCCGCTGGCTTCACTCTGCACCTCCTCCTGCCTGAGGCCAGCAAAGATTTGGGTCCTGCAGCCTCAGGAGCTGCTGCAGAGCCCTGGAAGAGCAGAGCAGCAGCTCCTCTGCCCAGCCTGAACTGCCACACTCTGGTGCCATTGCCTGGGAAACAAACGTTCCTTCAGTGGACAGAAAGAGAAGCTGAAGTAACCAAGTGATTACAGACACGAGCTACGATGCAGCAGGGCTGGGACAGAGCCAGGCTGCTCCTGGGACCCACAGGGGGCTGCAGGGACAGCGACAATCCCAGAGCTGGCACCTCCCTGCTCTGACACAAACACAGACACTGCAGCTGCCCAGCTCAAACGTGAGCCCTGAGCCCTCAGAGCCTCCCAAAGCTGCTCTGGAACAGCCACGGAGCACTCCTGGGCTGCAGCCACAGGAAAGCGCCTTTAGAAGCTCCCTATATCCTTTATTTTCCACCCAAATTCCCACCCCACACCCCCAAAAAATAAAAAAGCACACAGACTGCAGACTTAAAAGTGTAACAGGGTCACAAACTCTCCTCCACCACCCCCAGCCCAGCCCAAACCACCAAGGCACGTCAGGCTCCCCCCTCTCTCCAGGCCCATTTCACCCAATTCCCCTTCTCCCAATTTTGGATGGATGAAGCCAACACAAAACAATTTCCTTGCTGGGAAGCAGCAAGTGCTTCCTCATTGTCTCTGCACTGATAAAAACAAACGCAAACAAAGACATGCCTGCAACTGCCACCCTAATGTTTCCATGGGAAATGTTCTCTTTCAGCACATTCCCTGATGGACTCTGCCACCAGTTGGCCTTTGCAGAATTGAGGTCAAATTTTGCACCCCCAGCCCTCGAGAGGGGAGTGCAGTTATTCTTTGTAGGTTGTTGTTTGCCTGCCATGGGAGCCAGGTCTCTGTGGAAGGCTCACTTTGGTGCAATCCCAGCTTCCCACCAGCTCAATCCCATCTTCTTTCCAAGCCAGTATTGCCCTGAACGTGTTTGTTTGGAGAGTTCCAGCAGTGAGAGCAAACAGAGCCTGGGCCAGGCCCTGCTCCTCCCACCACCAGCGAGGGCCCTGAGGCCTGCACAGGGTCCATGTCCCGCCCTGCTGCTGCTCCTCCTGCTGCCCTCAGTGCTCAGAATCCGACAGGTACGAGGGCTGAGTCCATCTCCACACCAGCATGTCCTCCCCTGCCACCCTGTGTGACTCTGTCTGGATCCGGGACTCGTTGGAGGCCAGGAAATCCACGGCTCTCTCCCACACCCGCTTCATCTTCTTTCTGCAAGGAACAGCAAGAAAATAAATGAGAATCCTGAGCGGGTTGTGCTTCTGTGCCTGCAGCAACTGGTCCTGTGGATTTGGCTGCCTGCTGTTCCCTGTGCAGGCAGAAAAGGGCATCAAACAAACCCTGGTTTAGAGATTTCAGACCAGGGCATGGCCACACAAATCCTGCCTGGGGGGAAGATGAGAGGCTCTGTCAGTGCCCTGAATTTCTGCCTCAATTTGCGCTGCAAAGGGACTCGATGAGCAAATCACCCTCCCCTGTCCTGCACACAGAGATCTCAGCCAGGGGGACACCCTGATGTTCACCCCAGCTTTGGAGCCAGCTGTCCTGAGCATCTCACACCAGGGATGGCTCAAACAGCTGCAGTCATCCCTTGTAGGAACAGGAATCCTGTTTCTGGTACAGAGGGAGGATGTTTAACACTTCACAGGAGGACAAGCAGCTCCATTTAACCAAAACACAAGAAATAACAGAATGCAGAAATGGAGCAAAGCATGAGGATCCAGCCCTGCAGCCCCACCACCCACAAAGCAATGAGCTCAACCACAACTCCTGTCTGAGACAGCCCCAAACCCAACCTGAGAAAACACCAAACCAAATCATTTCACTCCAACTCCCTTCCCAGCTGTGTAACTCAAACTGGCCCCTTTCCAGGCACACAATCACTGCAGTGGAGCCCAAATATCCTGTTCAGCTCATGGGAATTGCTCTGGTCTGGAGAGCCAGGCAGGATGGCTGGGAAAGGAGACAGCACCAGATACCCAGCAGATGAAGCAGAGGACAGCTGAAGCTCCAGGTCCAAACAAACCAAACCCAGGTACTGCTGGACAGAGCAAGGACAATGCATCTGTGGCACTGCACAGGTGACAACCCACCTGTGGCCCTGCACCCAGTACCCACCTGGGGCTGGCACACTGATCTGCACCAGGAGCAGGCACAGCCTGAGCTGTGCCCAAGCCTTTCCCAACCCAAAGGCTCCAGCAGCTGCAGGGATTGATTTTGGAGCTGTGCTGAGTCCCACCCTGCTGCCTCCAGCCCTCCTGAGTGCCCAGGGCAGCTCACCTGCTCTGAGGAGGGATCAGGCTGTCCCGCACGTGGAAGATGCCGACGTAGGGGTAACGCTCCAAATTCCGCTCCCACTCCTTGTAGTGGTCCTGGACAACAGCTGGGGGACAGGAGGACACAGCAGTGAGGGCTCAGCCCTGCAGGAGCACAGCAGGGCTCCCTGTGCTCCCACAGCTCCTACCTATGATCTTCTTCACCATCTCATACATGGCTTGTTCCTCCTCCTCCATCTTGCGCCAGCGATAGCGGAGGTAGAGCAGGATGCCCCAAAGGGTTATCAGACCTAGGAGAATAAAACCAAAGGGATTCAGGAACTGGCAGCTGTGTGCCTGCTGGATGCAGTTTTAGTTCTCACACTGTGACCCAGGCTTGCTTGGAACTGAATCCCAGTGATTCCTTTTGCTCCCCAGTGCAGCTGCACCCCAAAACCCCCTTGGTGCTGCCCCCCTGGAGCACAGGAGCACCTGTGGCTGTGGGATGAGGTGGTGGCAAAGCCTCAGCACGGAGCTGCCCTCAGGAAAGAAACCTCAGCACAACCACAGGGCCCCAGGTCTGCAAATCCCAGAGGAGGCTTTGCCAGAGGCCTCCCCTACAAGGATCACTCTGGAAGACTGTCAGGTTTGGAGAGCTGCTGGATAGGGAAATAAAGCCTGGTGCTCCAGTGGCAGCCCAAAATGCAGGAGATGTGTATGGAAGGTTTAGCACTTACAATGCCCCCAGTAGGACTTGAGTGTCTGCAATAAACAGAACTGTCCCTTGTCACCCCCTCCCTGTCAGGCTGGATTAGAAACTCCTGCAGTCACACAGCTCTCGTTATCACCTCGCTGGGTAAAACCCCTGTCTCAGCTGAGGCGTGACAGACTATTCCAATAAAACCTCCAACCCTGAAATGCTACAAGTCATTATTAAAGAGGCTGGAGGACTTGGGAGCTTAGAGCAAGAAAAAAAAGAAAAACTGACTCCTTAAGGTAAGTTAACACACTTATTCTGCAGCCCATAATAATGGGCACTTGAGGAATACCCAGAGAGCTCATCAGCTGCCTAATTTAAAGCAACTTTTAAGCACTCACAGCACAAGAGGAGGGCTGTGGGTCTCCTGTGCTGCCAGAACAAAGGTTAATTAGACATTAACTCATCAGCAGATTTATTCCACCTCTGTTAGGTGTTTCCTATGGCTGAGCAATGTGTGATGACAGAGCTTCATCCCTGCAGCTGAACCCCAAGGGCCACTTACACCAGAAGAACAGGAACAGGTTCATGATGGCCGTGACCACGGCCCGGCGGAAGCGGCAGCCCAGCCCCATCTGGGGACGAGCAGATTCCAGGCAGAACACTTCCTCCACGCTGGAAACAGGCTCTGACAGGTCCCTGCCTTTCAACCTGATGGCAAGAGGAAGAAAATCTCATTGAAGAGAGCAGGCTGCAACTGCAGTCTTTAATCAAGGAGAACAACCAGGCTGCGGATGCAGCTGCTGGCAGGAAATGCCCCCACACCCAGGCACAGCCTCCTGCCACAACATTTGGGGAGTGGTGCTTAGCCAGGGATGGATGTGGCTCCAGGATGGATGTGGCTCCATCCTGCAGCTCCCACTGGCACGCTCAGTATCCCTGCACTGCCTCTCTGACAGCCCCTCTCAGCGTGCACAAGATTGAACTCAAAATTGGATTCCCACCTCCCAGCACAGAGATGGAAACGTTCCCTGAGTCAGAGCCACTGCTCAGCCCCAGCAGTGGGAGCAGGAGCAGCTCCAAGAGTGGCAGAGCACCAGCACAGAGCCCTGCAGAGCCCTCAGCTCCCTCCCTGCAGCTCTGCTGCTCCCAAGGCAGGCTCACTCCACAGAGCCATTCCCAGAGCACACAGGCACCCAGGGGTGCAAGGGACAGGCAGCAGATCCAGGGGAATGCAACAAAGGGCACTGCATTTTTTAAGCTCCTAAATATGAACAGCCCATTAGACAAAGAGGTTTGCTAATTTACAGGTGCTCAGCTCAGGAACTGCAGAGAGCTTGGCTGGTTCTGGGTTCTGCAGGAGCTGCACACACACAGTTGTGTCCCACCCCCTGCTCTTATTTACAACCCAAATTCCACGGAAATATTTAAAACATGCAGCAGAATCAGCCAGTGCAAAGCTCATTTTCAGTCCTGCATCTCAGACTAGCAACTAAAAAATAATCTCATGTAGTTAAAAATGCCAGGGGCAGGGTTTTGGGGATGCTGCCACGCTGGATCCAGGGAAGCAGAGCTGTTTGGGGACCAGCCAGCAGAGCTGCTCATTAACAAAATAAAAAGTGGGAGGATATTGTATCCCACAGCTTCTGACTGGAAATGTGCTGGAGTATAAAACCACAAAATTTGAAAACTCTGCATCCCAGCCCACCTACAAATGCAGCCCTGCCCCTAAGGAAGCCGAGCCCCGTCCTGGGAATTTGCACAGCCCAGGAATCAAAGCAGCAGATGCTCTCTGATCCATGGATCACAGCAGCAGCTGCAGGAATATTTAAGAGCAAATGGAGCAGTGGGAATTCCAGCAAGCTTGCCCACCAACCCCAGCACCACAACTGCTGCAAGTCACTTAATCACAGACACATTTAGCAACGTGCAAATGCAAACAACTGTTATGGCTTTAGAGCAGACTGGAGGCAGCCCACGCTCCCCAGAGGAAGGTGATGATGGCTGCTCACTCTGGCAAAAGTGACCTCGTGGGCAGGTTAAGGAAGAGCTGTGGGCACAGGACCATGGGGAGGACACCAGGAGCACTCCACAGGAGGCACAGCACAACCCCTGATGGCCACAAGCAGCCCTGACCTCCCCCCTGCATCTCACCTGTGTCCCACAGCCTGGGCTGGAATGGGACTGCTGGAGGGAGCCCAGATCCCACCCTGCTGCAGGGCTGTGCCTTTCCTTTGGAAGTTTGCCCAGCAAGCTCAGCCACAGCCAATCCCAGCCCCCCTGCTGCAGCCCAACGAGCTCTGGGAGCTGAAGGGCACCACTGACCCTGCCAAATTCCACCCCAGATGCCCAACTTTGACACAGTGGGCTCCTGCCACCCAATTCCCAAATCCCTGCTGTTGTTCAGTATCAGCAGATCCCAAATTTTGACACAGGGGGTTTCTGCTCACCAAATTCCCAAATCCTTGTTGCTGTTCAGGATCCAGTGCAGGGCAGCTTCAAACTTCTGTGAGGAGCTGCCAGTTACATTCTGTGCCAAGGAAGCCATAAGCAGATTAGCCTTCCATTCATTTAAAATACTGACCAACACGATTTCATTACAACAGTGGGAGAATTCACTCCATAGGGGCTGAACCCAGGTTCATTCTTATCAGGATTCTGCAAACTGGAGGGAGGAGAACTAAGCCTGAAGATCTGCCTGGCCTGAAGTCTTCTGACTGGGGAGATGATGCATGAAGCACTCAGTGAAATAACACCATCCCAGACTGTTAGGGCTAACCACTAAATACAACATAATCTTACTGACAGGTTACCAGGAAAGAAATGGAATGCTGGATCAGAGCAGTCTGTCTCCTGACACTCTGCAGTAGAGAAAAATCCTTCTTCTGCCCAGCCCTCAATCCAGGGAAATTTCTGCTTGCACAAGACTGATGGCTCCAGTGAAACAACAAACCATTAAGATTTACAGGGGGTGAAATCAGAGATGGAGGAGAAAATGATTTTCAAAAGAACTGCTGAGAACAGGACTGGCCAAAGGGGAAGTGAGAGATATGGGAGGGAATCAAAGCAGGATGAGGAAGCAAAATGGATGGTGAATTGTTTTAGTGTCTATTATTTATTGCTTTATAGGAGATTAAGCACTGGGTTAACAAAGCTGCTCAGAGCCCACTGGGGTAACAAAGCTGCTCAGAGCCCACTCACCAGCACGTGATCCTTCACCTCACTAACCCAAATGCATTTGCTTTTTAGGTTCTCAGGGTTTCCACATTCAAAATTACCTGGTAAGAAAAGTCAAATAAAAAAATCATGTTTGTAAAAAAAGCTCTGAAAGTACACCAAGAAATGCTCTCCTTTCCTATCAGCCCCAGCCCTGAGCAAAATCATTCCAGGATGAGATTTATATTGCAGGCAGATCAGATGACTATTAATAAAATGCTCAGCCACTGCACTGAGGTTGGATAAGGGCAATCAAACCTCTCACTTCAGAGCTGCTGCTGGATAAGGGCAATCAAAGCTGACACTTCAGAGCTGCTGAACACACAATGAGGGGGAAAGTATTGCTCCTGCCCCTTGCAGAGCACAGAAACCACTGCTGCCACCAGGTATCAGGTGTGGAGCTAATGATCAGTGTTCAAAATGCCTCCAAGGAGCTGAAATCACAGCTCTGCCTCCAACCCAGGCACAGAAATGCTGGCAAGGCACTAAATCCTCTAAATCTTGCCTCACCAAGTTGACTAAACAAATGTGCTAAGTAAATCTGGTGGAAATCCGAAGTCAGATTTGAAAAGATTTAGGAATTCTGTGCAGCTTCAGTATCCAAAGGTTTCAGCCTTGAGGTCTGAAATGCAGAAAATGGAACTGAAGCCCTTTTACTGATTACACTGCTGTGAATCTTGCTGAAAGTCCCTGCTCATACAGTGGATTTCCAGCAGCCTACTCCATCCCAAATACCAGTGATGGGCTGGATTTACTCCTGGAGTAGGGACTGTGCTGGGTCAGCTCCTCGTCTCAGAGAGCCTGTCCCACTCTGTGGTGAGGAACAGGAGAGGCACTCACACATCTGCCGCCACATTTCAGCAGAAATGACAATTTCTTAGGACACTTCATGTGTAAGAACATCAGTTTACACTCCTGCCTCTATCCTGAAGACAATAAATTTTCAAGCTGTTGGTAGAACAGAATAACAAACCCAACCAATCCCACCTGAAACTCCCAACACTTCAAGCACAAACAAGGCCCACTCACGCAGGCAGGGTGACAGGAGTGCATCAGCCAAGCACCACTCAGAACAAAAATAAACCCACCTTCCCTGTTTTCCTATCCCCTGCCTGCCTCAGCAGTCCTCAAAGGGAACTGCCTGTTCCAGAAACCCCTCCAGAGTGGCACAGGAGGGAGCAGGGGCTGGCAGAGGCTCCTGCAGGCTCAGCAGGGTGGGGATGTGCTGGCACTCACCTGCCTGCACGGACAGGTAATTGTAGAGCTCGTGCAGCATGGCCATCACCACGTCGTTGTGCTTGGCCTGGCAGAACTGCAGGGCACAGACAGGGACAGGGACACACGTCAGCAGGGCCGTGGGGACAGTGGGGGTGCAGCTCAGACACCAGACAGAACCACAGCACTGCAGGCTGGCTCAGTCCTGCCCCACAGCTCCAGGCACATCTCCTGAGCAGGGGGATGTGCCAGGCACAAGGGACCCTGAGCATCTTCTGGGTGAGTTTTGAGGTTCCTTCCAGCCCAAACCAGCCTGGGGTTCTGTGAAGTGCCACCAACCCACAGCCCAGCCTGCAGACCCACCACAGACAGATCCATCACCTCCAGAACTTCCCAGCACACAGAACTCAGAATCCAACACAAAACCTTCTCCCTCCTAAAGTCTGCGTTGGAAGGGACCTTTAAAGCTCACCCAGTTCCACCCCTGACACCTTCCACTATCCCAGGCTGCTCCAAGCCCTGCCCAGCCTGGCCTTGGACACTTCCAGGGATGGGGCAGCCACAGCTGCTCTGGGAATTCCATCCCGGCCCCTCCCCACCCTCCCAGGGAAGGATTTATTCCCAATATCCCATCCAAACCAGCACAGGGAATCCTGGAATGGTTTGGATTGGAAAGGATCCTGCCATTATCCCAGGCTGCCACTTTACCCAACCTGGCCTTGGGCACCTCCAGGATGGGCAACCCCAACCTTTCCAAAATTCCATCCTGACAGAGGGAGCAGGGCTGTGCAGGCACTCCCCAGTGGAGCCCAGGGAATTAGCTGATTAAATCTTGCACTGTTAAAGCTGAAAACAGCTTTATTGCAAACCAATAACACTGCTGGTACAACTGTTCAAAAAGAAATTGATTCACGTAATTGGGAATTTAAATTTTTATCTTTCAGAGTCTCATACACACTCCTAACTTCATCTGGCCCATTAATTTCAACTCATCAAGTCCCAATTTTTCTGTAAAACGACAGAACTAATCATTTTACAGTGATACTGTTATGGGTGGAACAGACTACCTGGAATAATCACTGTTCTGTGAGAGCTCACAAGATTGAGAATAAATAAATAAATGCTTACATCATCCGTTCTTTTGTCACAATCCACAGGCAAGAGATTAACTAGGAGAGAAAAGAGGGTGAGTTAGCTGGCTGCAAACAAGAGCTTTGATCAAGAAAATAATTATCTTTTTAAAAGCAGGCTCAACTTAAAGCCTGGTTGTGCTATTGTTCATCTCCCCCTGGCAGCACGTGGAGATGCAAAGAGCCCCTCCAGGAGCTGCTTTGGGAGGAAAAACACACCAAGGATGGAGCTGATGAATGTGTTCAGCTGGGGAGTGAAAACTGGGGCTGGATGCTTTAACAGCTCCTGTTTGAGAAGCTTCACGCTGATCTTTACACTCCAGTGCTGCCTCTTGCTGCCCACCAGGGTCACCTGAAATATCCCAGCAGAGCCAGGGAGGGAAATGAACCCCCCTGGAGGGCTGATTGCAGCTCTGGGCTCTGCAGGGCTTGAACAGCTCCTGGCACCTGTGGCACAACCCAAACCTGGGCACCACTCCTGCCTCCAGAGCTCCTGTCACAGCTGCAACGGGACAACCCAGTGACAATGGGCAGCTTTATCCTGGCTTTGGGAATGCAGCAGCTTTCCCAGCCCACACCAAGGGCACTGTGTGCCCAGGGTCAGGACCAGCACTCTCCCAAAACAGCCCCCAAACCCTTCTTTGTTCAGCTCAAAGCCTGAAATATCCCCATTTCCAACTGTTCCAGCTGGGGAAACCCCTTTCATTTCTCACAGAAGAGAGAGAGACACACTCTGCCACACCTGAAGTGCTGAATTGATCTGCTGCATTTCCCCCTTGGACAGAATAAAGGGCTGTGCTGGCAAAGGGAACATCAAAAACACAGCCCAGTACTACACAGGCCTCGTGTGACACCATAAAATCCATCCTTGGCCCAGCAGGAATGGCATTCCACATAAACCCCATGGCTCTGAGGGACTGAAGGCCAAACTCGTTTGGAAAAACCAAACTTTTGATTTGCTTCCCATGACTAACAAGGTTCCCCACAGGAAAGGGAAGATGGGAAAAGGGAGAGAAACAGAGATGTCAGGTTTTGGCAATGAGAATGATAAATGTGATGGGGATGGAAGCAATAAAGGCAAAGCAGTAAGACAGGTGAGGAATAAAGTTTAAACGAGAATTAAACCAGTGCACGTACACCTCTCCTCTCTCCCGTCCAGCCAGCCTGACCCAGCCATCTTCACCACGAGGATGCCCAGAAAAATCAGCAGCAGCACCAAGCTGGCGAAGCAGAGGAACTGGGACAGGTAATACTCCAGGCCTTTCCCCTTTCCCTCGGGCTGGGGCCGGGGCGCTGAGCGCAGCAGGGCTGTCCGTGCGGTCACTCCGTGCCCCCCATCGCCGGCTGCCCGCCACGGGAAGCGCCGGATCAGCCCCCCAGCCCGGCTGCCCGCATCCCGCTCTGCCTCCTTCCCAACGCTGGCAGCCAGGTCCTCCTTCCCTCTCCTGAACAGGCTGCTGAACCTGCCTGGGGCCGCCGAGGAGCCCCACTGCGTGCTGGGGGTCACCTCGCTCTCCCGTCTCCACCAGCTGTTGGAGGAGAGCCCCCTCCTCTCGCCCGCAGTGTCCCAGGCAGTGCGGGAGCTCTGCGCCCCAATTCCGCCTCCCGACGTCCCCCAGTGGCTCCTGGGTTTCTCCTCACTGGGAAGGGGCTTGGAGCCTGCCGAGGAGCCAATTCCCCCTCCCGATGTCCCCCAGTGGCTCCTGGGTTTCTCCTCGCTGGGAAGGGGCTTG